ACAGCTATGAAGCCTAACTACAACATGTAGCAAGGTTCCTGCACTGACTGTGACAGCTATAGAGACTAATCACAACTTGAATTTCTTGCATTGCTATTGAAGCCACAGAATCTAATAACAATATAAGGTCCTTGTACTACTATTATAGTTGCAAAGCTAAATTACCAAAAATGAGGTTTTTGCATTGCCTATGATAGCTATAGAGTTTAATCACAACTACTACATAATACAATATCAAATATCTCTAACACTCTTTAAGTGATTCAGGTGTCTAGTTTAAAGACAAATTTTTTAAAATATTATGGGTATATACAAACAACAGAATGAAGAAAACCAAAAACAGACTTTTTAACAAGAACTTACTACACAAGTAGGAAAAATCTATCATATAATAGTAGGATTCTCTATAGAAAAAGAATTTGATAAAGAAACACTTGAAGAAAACAAAACTGAACACAAAAAATATTGAAAAAATTAAATAATGCATTGGAAATACCCAAATCTAGTATTATTATTTGAAAACACTACTGTTTTAATAGCAAACTACACAATACAAAACAACAAATAAACTAAACCCCTAACTATTAAACAATCTTTAAACTTACTTAAACTACTAATTCACAACCTTGAATCAGAACTTAAAGAAGTAATATACACAAGTATAATATTAGAACAGAAAACCAAACAGTATACAATTGCTATGAAAATGATGACTATTTCTGGATTATATCAGAAATAAGAAATATACAAAAAATGATCAATTAGAGATATAACCAAACCATTAGACCATTTGTAGCAAAATCAAATAAAGAATTTGAAAGACAGTGCAAACAAGAAAATATTTACAACAAGTCTATAAGAAAAGAACTGAAATAAGTATAAGTAAAAAATATCGAAAACCTGAAGGACAAACTTGGAAAAATTTTAAAAACTATCATACAAAGATTTGGGAACAAGAATGTATATCTTGAAGAACTATCAAACCAAGAATTATACTAATCTAAAGAATTTTGAAGCCCAAAGAACCAGTGACAAAACAACTCAGGAATATACTTAAATCCAGAACTATTAGCATACCTTGATAAACAAGACCCATATAATCTACCAAATAGAATCATGACACAAGCAATAGTACCAATAATACAACAAAACCTTTTTTACATATTTAAAAGAACTGAAGATTATCTCTTGTTAGAACAAATAAATTGAATAAAAACAATACACCAGAATAAAATAATAAATCCAAGAAAAGTATTTACACAAGTACTAGCTAAAGTAGATTCAGAAAATGAAAAAGAAGAATTAACATCCCTAACCATGGAAGAATATTAAAAAATTTTAACAGACAAAGAGTCTATCACTGCAAGACAAATCCAAAGGGGGAGACTACTAAAAACTCAAATACAAAAGAAAATAGCCCTATTAAAACGAATAGAAAAACAACTAACAAACTTTAACCTCCTTTTCAAAGTATATAAGTACCTCTCAGTTTTTGAAATAACTGACCGAGCCAAAGTAGCAACAATTTTAGAAAAATACCCAAAAGTAATTGACTGTTTAAAATTACTAGATACTATAATGAACAAGCTTAAAAAACAATATTACTATTATAACCTGAAGTACGACAATAGTGGAAAAGCTTATCAGATAAAAATACAACAAACAAATAAATTTCAAGTCACACTTGTAACAATAAACTTTCTGATAACTGAATACAAAGGTTTAACCCTTATTTAGAAATAATCGGCAATACAAATCCAGCCACCTTTAACTTAACCCTAGCCGAATGAACTGATATGTACAGCAGGCCTACCGAAAATTAAATTGCAATTAAATTATTACACAATTAAATTTAATTGATATTGTTATAAACGACAATTGCAAAACAATTAATTGTAAAAAAAACAATGACAAAACAATTAATTGCGAAATAATTGCAATTAATTGCAATTTTTATAATAAAAGTATTAAAAAGTATTGTGTTAAAATTTACATTAAAATAAATATATATATATGTGAAACTATTGTTTAATTTGGTGAACATCCCGAATTGACCACATTTTATCATTAACTCTTATCAATAGAAGATTTTCTAATGTATACGGGTCTAGAGACTTTTTCCAGTCCGTATAGTAATACTTTACAAGCGAAAACAAACGTTCTATGGCATTAGAAGAGGAGAAATGAGATTCATATCCATGTATATCGATTCTTCTGATTTGCGTTTTTTCGCAACTCGTTCCTTCATAGTTAAAGGACTTTCTTCTTCAATTTGTCGCTCAATAATAAATTCTTCAAGCTTTTGCTTTTCACCGAATGTTAGTACAGCTTCTTGTTTGCATAGAACTTTAACTACAGCTTCTTCAAAACCTGGATCATGGATTATTGCTACATTTTTTCCTAGCCAACTTTATAACTCTGGACATTCCTCTATTAACAAATTGAAGTAGACACGAACATCATCCAAATTTATAGAATCACTTTGTAGGTCATTAGTTGCTTCCGAAAAATATTTAAGCCGTTTAATTAAGAGATCGACTTCGTCGAGATCCAATTGCTCAATTAACGAAATATCATGACCTGTATATGCATAGAAATATGTAAAAAATAAAAAAATAAAAATAAGATAAAATAAATAAAATAAAAATAAAATAAAAAAATTCTTGACCCGAAAATCTATTTGTCTGAGTAATGTGAGGTACAAGTTTCTTAAATCGTTTAATCATTTTCATAACGCTCATCCAATGTGTTGCATTGTCCAATATAGGTTTCAACAGCGTCACCTTTACAAGCTTTTCACGATTCTTATAAGTTCGCATCATATACACGATTATACGAATTTGATTTACAAGGGTAGACGAAGAACTAATAAGGTCATTAACCGCCAAATTTAGACAGTGTGATGCACATCCAACAAGTGGAAGACCCAAATCGTTAGCTATTTTACAATTTGTACTACAGTTATTACCTGAAAAGAAAAGAACATTTTCAACACCCTTGCCATATGATTCTAAAACGTCTTCAAAAAATCTAACATGCACGTCTGCATTTTGGGTAAAGCGATCTTCAAAGGGTGAAAATGCTAGTAAAACCAAATTTCTAGGTTCATGAGCAGTTTGGTAGATTCCAAACATTCCAACAAAGTGAATACCATTATTCATCCATCCATCAAACATAACTCCAATCTTTTCTGGCAAAATATTTTTTACTCTCTCTCGTACAATATCTGCTAACCCATTAAGGTACTTACTAACCATAGAACTATCTAACTTCGAAAGACTAGTATGTAAGATGAAATCGGGATTCTTACATATATTAAGAGGTAATTGACACTTTACAATAAGGCTCACACAGTTAAAAATATTGAGCACACTCGCACTATAGTTAAACATATCAGAATTTGTTGTAGAGGTATTTTTGATTCGTTGTTGGTAAATCAACTTAAAGTTTTCATGTTTTGCATCTAAATGATTTATTAAATTAGTGTAGCCCGATCCTTTTTTTTGGGTTATCAATGATGATCTGGGAGGGCATAAATCACAATGATACTTAGTTTCATTTGCAGGTCGAAAAAAGGCCTCTACGTAGCATTTGTTTGAAACTTTTGCACTCATTGTAATTTAAAAATAATAATAATATTTTTTTTTTTTAAAAAAAAAACACGATTGCTTTATACGCTTTTTTTTTCTTAATCGTATAAGCTTTTTTTTTATTTATTTAATCATAAAAGCTTTTTTTTTATTTATCTAATCATAAAAGCTTTTTTTTTTATTTATCTAATAGTAGAAGCTTTTTTTTATTTATCTAATCGTATTGGCTTTTTTTTTTCTTTATCTAATCGTATAGGCTTTTTTTTTTTCTTTATTAAAAATCATATAATAACCTTTTTTTGCCTGTAATTTTGACGTCAAGATCAGCTTACAAACTGCGGTATATGGAGAATCGTACATCATTTATTATTATCGCAAAAATTGCAATTAATTGTTTAATTGTGGCTGTGCCACCAATCAATTAATTGAATTTAAATAATTGCAATTAATTGCCTTCACAATCAATTATTCGGTAGGCCTGATGTACAGTGCATGTTGTGAGCGTGGTAACTGATCCGGAATCGGGAAAGATGTATGATGCGGATATCTATCTACAATAAAACTAATCCAAACGACACTCTAAACTACTAAACTCTGTCTAAACCTTAATATGGCAGGCAGTGAAAGAGGCGTGGAAAACTTGGTCCGAGGTATTAAAGTCTTGTAAATGTAATGTTAAGTTCAGCCGACTTCCTTTTACTTTATTGGAAGTTTACTTGATTTAGGTGTCAAAAATCCAACACTAAGGGTTTTATTTTCTCCTTTCTTTGGGTATACTGCTTATTTCGTGGTCACATGTCACGTGGTTTGGTAATTCGATTGTAGAACAATGGGTAATAATGACGATATTCAATTAAAGTTTATTTGTTATAAAAAAGGGTCTGCTTACTAAGCGTAACTCTTTCTTGTATTTTCTTTATTTTCAAACAGTCAATAATTTGGAGATACGAAAAATAGGATTCTATTAAGAACAATTTATTGGATCAAGAGAACAGATTCTTAGAGAACTAACTTCTACTAAGGGACTTCAAAGTTCAGAACTCAACTCCGCTTCTTTTTATTATCGTTAACGGGTGGGTCTTTTATACTTTTCAGACCGCTTATTACAACTTAGCTATCTAGCCGGTTGTCGCCAACTACTATGTACAATTTGAACATAGGTACAATTTGGACATAGGTACAATTTGGACATATGTACAAAATGTACATATGTTCAAATTGTACATATGTTCAAATTGTACATATGTTCGAAATGTACATATGTATAGTTTTATTTTAGGTAACTAGTGGGTTTTACCAAAATAAGTTAAAAACTAGCTACTAATATGCATGACTTATCAAGTACATAGTATGAAAGGGAAGAAAAAAAATAACGTGAACGCTCGGGGGCCGTTCACAATTCTCCCACCATTAATTTCGAGTTCCACAAGCGGTTTTACTCCAATAAGGAGTGATAATCGTCACTTGATAATTTTCGGATTTTTGTGAGGGAGGACCACTGGGTACAGTATAAGTGTCCTACACCTAAGTGCTTGAAAAGTTGGTATGTTCTGATTGCGGTATCAAGGTAGTGTCGTGGGAAAGTTTTTCGTAGTTGAGTAACTTCTCCTCTTCGTAGCTTGTCAATCACCGAACCGAGGTAAAATGCGTGAACTAGGCCTTCGATTCGGTCACTGCGGCGAGCAGCGTCTCGTATTTCTTGGATAGCAGTGGCTATTTTCGTATTGTGGTCTTGATCATCGAGAAAAGGGCAGGGTGTGGGCGTGACTTGGTCGAAGTTAAGGATGTTCAAGTCTATTCCGATTTGTATTGCGGCAACACTGGTCATTGTGGGGAGACTCGTATATGGGTCGTGTGGATTTTTGATACTCTGTGGGTTCGTGTCTGTCGGGCCTTGCTTTTATAGTTTTCGCTCTCTATATTCCTTCATTAACTGCTTGTTAATAGGTGTTGCAAGAACTCTTCCGTTCATGTCACGTAGCTTGTACGCCCCATTCGTGAGGATAGCATGCACGTAGTATGGCCCTTTCCACTTGGGCGCAAACTTGTGGCTTCGCGTACCCAGTATTCTGGAATTTTGAATGAGGACCTGGTCCCCTATCGAGAAATCGGGTGAGGCTTGGATGTGTCGATCATGATGCTCCTTCTGTTTTTCCTGTTTTTCCTGTATTTGCTATATTGCTTTCTCACGAGCGTCTTGTAGATCATTATCAATTGTGTACATTCGTTGGATGATCGTTTCATTCAACAAATCCGGGGATTCGCTGGGGTGTATGGGGAGTTTGGCTTTTCTTCCATACACCAAATAAAAGGGCGTTTCTTGGGTGGAGGCTTGTTTTGCAGTCCTATACGCAAATAGTATAGGTGGTATTAACTGATCCCAGTCCGTTACGTTAATTACTAACTGAGAAAGTGCATTGCAGAGTGTTTTATTGAATCGCTCTACAAGCCCATTGGTCTGGGGGTGGTATGGGGTGGAGTAATGGTGTCTAATTGTCAAAGCCGCAAGTAATTCGTCAATAAGTCAATTTCGAAAATGAGAGCCCCGATCTGATACTATAGAATGTGGGCATCCGTGCCTGCATATGATCTCTTCGTAGATAAACTGGGCCACTTCTTCTGCATTATCTCTGGGAATTGCTCGAGCTTCTGGCCATTTGGTCATATAGTCAGTTGCAACTACAATATACCTGTTAGAGCGAGGCGTAACAGGTAATGGTCCGACTATATCTATCCCTATTTTATGGAAAGGAGCATCAACAGGTATTGGATGTAACACTTCCTTGGTTTTTCCTTTTCCATGTTGTTGACAATTATCACAAGTTCTCATGTATTCGCGTATGTCGTCGTACATATTGGGCCAATAATAGTAATCACGGATTTTGTTGAACATGATGTCTCTCCCGAAGTGAGCGCCTAACGGATGGTCGTGTGCTAAGGTTAATATCGGTTCCGTTTCTCCTTCTTGCAGGACTTTGGGCATACTTTTCTTTTTGCTCTTTTTATATAAAGTTCCATTTTTAACTTGGAACTTTCGGCTTTGTTTTTCCAGCTGTTTTCGCTGCAATTCGTCGGAGTGCGGCAGATGTTGTCGATACCGGAGGTATGTCTTCAGAGCGACGTATTGTTGTGATTCTATTTCTACTAAAATTGATAGTGGTTAAAGACTCAATCAGATTGTTGCCAGGATACCGACGACCTGGACTGGATTTGTATTTTATGTCGGGTTTGGGCGATTTAAGTGTTGTTTATCCTGAATCGTCTTTTAGATACTTTCGATCTTCTTTCGACGTCACTTCTTGCTCGTTCCTTTCCTCTAATCGTTAAATTTCGACTTAGATCGTTTTGCGGTTTGTTTCTTTCCTTGGTCAATTGTTCACTAATTCCATTTTGATAACAATATCCAACATTGTACTTGGATATTTCGCCGTTTTAACAGTCACTTTTCGCTACAGTTCAATTGATTATTGAAGTTGTGTGGTTGATTTGTTGGATGCCGAAACTGGTGATGTATTATTGCTAATTTGATTCTTCTATTTCGTTTTTAATTCTTATCTTCATCCGGGCTAATAACTTCATTCTTCTTGCATCGCTTTTGATGCTTTGGATTCGTTGGAATTTCGCGTCTGATTTATCGGATGCTGAAATCGATGATGCTACTAGTTTTTCTTTTGAATAGGGCCCCACAACTCGCCCTATCCCATCCTGACCAACCTCTCTCTATTGTCAGGTCTGTAAAAAAAATATTTCGAACAAAAGAAAAGGAAAGAAAGAGTTCAAAAAAAAAAAATAAAATGAAATTGAATGGTCACGTCATTTTGCAGACCTTCGTGTCCGTGAAGTCACGTGATAACGATCGGGTATATATTTAACTTTTTTTTTTTTTTTTTTTTTTTGTTTTTTTTTTTTTTTTTTACTTTCTAATGCCTGATTAATTTTCCCCAATTTCTCTAAAATTTAAACCTTATCACGTTTTAATTAGTTCGGCGAGATGAATCATCTCTATAGGGAATCATAGTATTCCCAATCAATGTAGGTATCAAATGTTTGCATTTGTTCCCAATCTTCCGATTCGAAGCTTTCGTCGATGGCTATTTCAGCTTCATTATTATCCCAGCTGTATTGGTTGGAGCTTGGGCAGGTATAATAATTATACCCCACATTTTCCCATTCGTCGTTATTGTCGACCTCGAATTCTAATCCGGTAACTGGTTCTCCCCATTGGGGTATATCGATCAAATAGGTTTCGTCGATATCCATGAGTTGGAATCCATCATTCAGGTGGTGGTCACTGATAGGGTTTTCCCAATAACCATTAGGTGTTGACCAGGTTATTACTCTTCCTGCTTCCAAAGTTAGTTCGTTTAGGAGGTTTCGGTAGTATTGTTCTTGTGCCATTTGGCTTATAAAAAGTTCTTCATCCCATTCGTCCTCTTGACTTTCATCACTCATTATCTCATCATCTCCCCAATCGTCCCATTCTTCATCTTCGGTCCAATTCATTAGGTCCGTTCCTTCATCCGTGTCTTCAGGGAAACAATTTTCCGCCATAACCCTGAAGACTTCCACTTCAATGGCCGTTTTGACTTGGGGAGGTTTAATTTCATATTCTTCATTAGCATTCTCCATATCAGCTGCTTTTTGGTAACAGCTTACTGTCCTTCC